AACAACAACAGCAAAGGTTAAAATTGCAAAAAGTCCCTAACCAGTCCTTGTTCAAAGAGTTCTTGTTCTTCTTTGGTCCATGGCTTTCTGTGAGTGGAAGGTAGGTTTTCAGCATTCACATGGGATTTCTTTGGTTTTGGAGACACTTGTACTCTAAAAAATTCAATCCATTTTTTTTCCATTTACTAAGTATAGTTTATGCTTTGTGATACAGTTCTACATCTGTTGTATGAAAAAAAATACCCCTTACACTAACAAGAACAAAAGAACTCCCTTCTCTGGAGGACTGTAATATGAAGATTCAGACTAAAGAAATATTATTTATCATGGAAGTTGTAATAAATGATACTAATTCTACAGCTTCTCATTAATCCCATATAGGTAACTGTCCAATTATTTTCTTAATTGGACAGGTCTTGTTGATATGGGATTAATTAGGCAGCTATATAATTAATAGGTAATGGGATTTCATGCTCCCCAATCAAGAAATAATTAGACTCGAAAAATTCCTCTGACTGCCAAATTGGACTTGGCCTACAGCCTCATCCAATTTTGTCAGTCCTCGGAATTTTCCTCTTCCAATTATTTCTTAATTGGACAGCATGGAGTCCTATTACATATAATTATTCATTTGTCTCAGGAGTAAGAGTCATTTGTTCAAGGATCTCGATGTTTCAACCACAAACTGCTAGTCTACATCAGGTGTTAAATACATGTAGATGGATGTTAATAAATCTTATTGTTTTGAATCCCAGGTACTGTTAGCGCAAGGGCTTTATTAACTATTACTTACTTTTTATTGAAGAATGAAGTCTTATTCTTTCCTAATGTTTCAAACAAAGGAAAAAAGTTTAAGACGAAGTACAAAGTTAGTAATGTCAAAAATAAATAGACATTCTCAAAAAGGTGCTGGACTTGAGGATACATCACAATGCCAAGAGAAACAACCTCTGGGCTGATCTAAGTCAGGGCACGGCTAACTCACAGATTAAACCCTGAAACAACCTCTGGGCTGATCTAAGTCAGGGCATGGCTAACTCACAGACCAAACCCTGAAACAACCTCTGGGCTGATCTAAGTCAGGGCATGGCTAACTCACAGACCAAACCCTGAAACAACCTCTGGGCTGATCTAAGTCTGGGCATGTTGGAATGTTACCCTTAACAGGACCTTGCTGTGGATAATTCATCAGAGCAATGCTGTGGATCTTGTGTTGTTGTCGTTTCAAGGCAATGGTGCTTGTAAGAAATTACCTCTAACAGGGCCACTAGATATTGCTCTGAATTTTCCATGTCAGTGGAAAACTTGAAGCAGTGTTTTACCTGATTGTAATGGTGTTGTAGGGACTTCCAACATCCTGCCATATCCATGGGAATACAGTCTGATATATAACACTAGTATCAAGGATAGTAACATGATTTTATATAATCCTATAATATTCTCGAAAGGCTCTGGCTCTCAAAATTGATCATTAAACTCGAGCTAATAAATAACCCAAAGTTTCCGCCTCAAATGTTAAAAATACTATTGTATCATAGTCTCGCAAAGTCTCGCTGACCATGACACCCCTATTGTCTATAATTATACCATTATCACCATCAACATCAACATCAGCAACATAAATGTTTTTATTTAGATAGAATGACAGTCGCACAACAGCTGCAATTAATAAACTTCGGGTAAGTCTCAAAATAAAATGTGACTGTCACTTGTATGAGTATCCAAGCCGTAGTGAAGGTTTAAACAAAGAGAGCACCTTCTGTTCATATTTTTTTAATGCTGACTAAAAATGCTGAACTTCACATAAGCTGAACCAAATGACATAAAGAAGACCGCCCTGTTATCCATTGTTTTAAATGCATATGGCTCATGTGAAGTTTAGCATGTGGCTTGAGTCTCATATACAAGACCCTGAATGGCAGCATCATGGAGAATGGGTTAACCAAGTGCGTCATAGGTTTCCGAGCACAGGAGTAGGGCTTTAGGATTTTGGTTCTCCTCACTTAGAAAAAAAAGTTTAATGGCAGGCAAGCTTCGAACGAAGCACCCTTGGCACCAAATGTCATTACAATGCCTATCCACTAAGCCACAAATTGAATTTGCTGGATAATTTCCTATTTTTGTCATACTTAAAACGATGCTTCATTTTTGTATGCACAAAAATATTTATTTTAGTATAATATATGCTATCGTAGGACATGACTACTAGACAAATGAATTTGCATATCGGAATTTGAATTTGAATAGAATCCACCTGCTGACAATTCCCGTACACCACACCATTTTTTGGAAAGCACAGGTGGCGTAGCAGTTAGAGCACTCGCCTCTCATCTGTGCGACCTGAGTTCAAGTCCCGCGGGGTTTGGTGCTGTATGTGGGTAGAGTTGTTTATTGGTTCTCTCCTGTGCTTCAAGGGTTTTTCTCCAGGTTCTCTAGTTTTCCTCCTTCGGCAAAAATCAACTTCTAAATTCCAATTTGATCATGGAATAAGGGCCACGGGTTTGTTAGCCACTGACTATTAAGTGCTACCCTCGTAAAAAAAGGACTTTTTACGATACTTCCCCCTGAGCATTGATCTGACTGAGAAGGTGATTGAAATGTTTCAAAAAAAGATACTCTTCTTCCATGATCATTTTTTCAATCATAGCTCTACTCCTTTCATCTTCACAATGTTCTAAGGACAAAACCTAAGAGAAAGAAACGACGTTTAAGTAAAAACAGAACGATAATTTGATTTATATTTAAGAAAACAGAATAAATATAAGAAACAAGTTAAACTTAATTAAGTGATAAATATGATAAACAAAATGTGTTAGCTTACCGAGTTAGGATCAAGACACCAAGAGGTAGAATCACAAAACTCCGTGTAAAACGAACCAGTCGTGTTTTCTAAATTTACTCTGCTATTGCTGCCGATACAATAATTTTCATTCAGCAAATATAAAAAAACACATACACAAAAAATAAGAATAATTCATTAATATCAAAAACATATCCAAAATATCGACAAATAAGCGCAATATTGGTGCCTAGTCAGACTTACAAGTGATTTTCAGATGTATTTTCAATAATATCTTTGTAATTAATAGTTTTTTCATCGTCTTCTATCCCTTCTATGTCAACTTCGTCGTCTTCTGCCGCCATTTTGATAAATAAAACTGAACAGTGGACAGCGGCAAAATTTATGAATATGCAGTTTATAATATAATATATAATAGTTTATTTATCCACATAACGCCTAGGAGCATTTCACATACTCGTTTAAAATGCGCACGTGCACTAATCTATTAAGAAATAACCTAAATTAAAGTGATATAAAATATAATATACATATGTATATATGCAATAAATATAAAATATGAAATGATAAATATCTATTTACAATGGGAAGTTAATAAATTAATAAATTAATTAATAAGTTTCTAAATCTTCTTGTAAAATTAGTGCTCAAAATTTCTTAAAAATGAAAACTATACATCTTTTCAAAAAATTACGAAACCAAAATTTTATGCAAAAGAGAAAAAAATAGAGTTTTGGTAGACTTTTTGGCCATTGTTTTATTTTTTGATCAACCCGAAGGCGTACGAAACCATACCGAATGATCCCGAAATCATCCCGAAAATATAAACAAAAATTATATTTCTCAAGAATTGTTAAGAATAAAGTTTTATGGTGTTTTGGTAAAATGTATTTAATTCAATTTGTATTAAGGCAAGAGTAAAAGATATTTAAAAATTATTTTATTGAGAATCCTATTGTACGAAACTATACCGATTGATAGCGATAACATTCCGAAGGTAAAAAATAATCAAATTGTATTTCCGATAACCTCACGGAAAAAATTCGATCCCAATGAAACTGCGCATGCGTGTTAGGTAAATTCTCTTTCGCCACATTTATCCTCGTGGTTTTGAAATTAGAAATACTTCATGCTTTAATAGCAGAAAAAAGGCCCCCAAAAAGACTAAACTACGATTTAGATCACACGGGTAGGTAGGTTAATGCATAAACCCAGTATTGGGTTATTTTTATTAATGTTTTGGGGGTTATTTTTAGTGATTTGTACAGCTTTAGGGCGGACAATTTGTCACAACGTTTACCATGTGTCATGCTTCAAATATAGAAAATTGTCTGTTCTTATTTGACAACTTTAGATCTTCAACTCTGCTTTGCGTGGTGTTAGGGTTGGGCTGCCTTGCTTCGCTATAATTCTCGAGAGATATTTTTCAATAAGAGACGTAAATTCTAGATACACCGATAAATAATCGCCATACAAAACCATTCATGTATGTCTTGAATTTGGGTCAAATACTTCAATTCTCAGCTACAGATTTTATGATTTCTACTTTAGACAAAAAGAGGTTATGTTAGAGACAGTTCAGTATTACCTAGATAGTCTATCTAAATGTGTGGGAATGTTATTTTGACGTTTCTTAAACCATTCAAAATAGTTAAGTTTTTTATATTTTTTGCATAGATTGATCTCTTTTTTACATAGATATCGAATCTCCAAACCATGATTGTTTTTGCTTCAACTTTTATTACCATAATGTATGGTATGAATAGCTTTAGCAATCTGCATACTTGGTTGCATAGATAGATACATTGCATACATATAATTTCTTTTGAACATGATAGCATCTTATTCTTTATTCCAGCTAAGACGATGAACTCAGAAAAGTTATCTAAACTCAGTAAGGAAGTAAGAATAGGAGGAAAGGTATGGTATTATTTAAGTGTTATATTTTCAATAGTAGCAATGGCACTAACGTGTGCCCCCCGGGGGGGGGGGGTGGTGGATGGGGGTACTCCCCTATATTTGCTATACGGGTATGTGCAGCCCTATAGGGTATGGTTTTTTGACTTTTGGGTCTGGGATAGGGTATCATTTTTTGACATTTTGTCTGGGATAGGGTATCATTTTAGTCTGGGATAGGGTTAACGATTTGGTCATTTTTGTGTCTGGCGAATAGGCTACGCTTTTTGCCGGCACAAAAACAATAAAAACGTTAGTAAATATTGATTGCAAGCTATTGAAAATCTGTCTTTTAGTCTTGGATAGGGTGTACAATTCTTAGTTTTAGTCTGGGGTAGGGTATGTAAAATTAAAATTTTAGGTCTGGGATAGGGTCAGGGTTTTGAGATCCTGGTGGCACACCCCTACCCAAGTTGGGGTGGTAGTAATCCCCCCCCGGAACRTGTGCCACAACAATAGCCCTCTTTACCTTGGGCGTAATGTTTTCCCATTTATGACCACATGTCATTATTAGAGAATAAGATTTTTGTTTGAGTTGTATCCATATTCATGTGTCTTCTCATGCACAACCATTAAACAAAGAAATGATACTCAATGGAATGACACGTGGTCTTGAGGATAAGATTTTTGTTTGAGTTGTATCCATATTCATGTGTCTTCTCATGCCTAACTGTTAAACAAAGAAATGATACTCAAGGGTATGACACATGGTCCAAAATGTGTAAACATTACACCCAAGGTAAAAAAAAAAATCTACAAAGCTCTTTGCTGTTGTATCACAGCGTGGGACAATCACAACAGAGCTAGGCTCCAAACTAAGTGAAAGCCCAAAGATCAAATTAATAATTAGAATTTAGAAGTTGATTTTTGAGAGGTAAAGAGGTAATAATTGATATTTATTTAGTGGTTCATATATAACCCATTTTAATTTTGACCATACTTTCTAGGGAACCCCTAGAAGAAAAAAGAAAGTCGTCCACAGAACTGCCACTACAGATGACAAAAAACTACAGGTCAGTGGTATAACCATGGCAACTAGTGTGACGGCTTAGGCCCCGTCCACACTATGCCATATGAATTTGAATCCGAATTTTTATTTATTCGGTTAGGCCTACCGTCCGCACTAGTCCGGGTGAATCTGGAACAATTCTTCACTGAAAACGAATTTTTGAAATGGAACCGAATAAATAAAAATTCAGATTCAAATTTATTCAGCATAGTGTGGACGGGGCCTTAGTATTCTGTGCTGTTGCATTTGTAACTTCTGGGCCGTACTGACATTGTATATTGTTCTTAATTCAGAATACCCTAAAGAAACTGTCAGTGAATACTATTCAAGGCATCGAAGAGGTGAGGTTAAGCTTTTCTATGGATTGTTGGCTTGAGTAGAGGTCTGTCATGTGAGACGTCATGGGTTTAATGCCCTTCTAGTACTATGGGTCTAAATATACCTTTGTAGAAACTGCTGCTTTAGTTTTACATCTACAAATGCCTTCCACCTTCGAAATAAAAAAAAGATTAGTAGGAACTTGTAGATAAATTTAATCACTGTAAGAAGCTTTGTGAAATGGATGTTTCGGACGTTAGTCCTTCGTCGGAGTAAGACTTACTTAGTTTGACTTAATCTGACAAAGGTCTAATGTCCAAAACGTCAGTTTCACAAAGCTTCTTACTGTGATTCAATTTATCCATAAGTTCCTACTGTTTTATTCAGAATCACTGACGCAGTCCCCACTAGTACTCTACTAGTTATCATCCACTCAAAAAAATTAGCTGCAAAAGATCATTTTTTGATTGTGGAAATACCCCTGATCAAGATTTTTACTAGACATCTAAATTCTAAACATAGTTGAAGGATGACCTTTTAATAATTAATATTAATAATTAATAAATAATATTAATAGTTAATATTGGACCCTGCTATGAATGGAGTGATTGATCAATATTAATGTTTATAGGTGAACATGATCAAGGATGATGGAACTGTCATACATTTTAACAATCCCAAAGGTGAGTCAATGATCAAGGAATATTACTGCATCTCAATGTTACACATGACATCATTATCCAGAGGCGGTGGAAGCTAAAAATCTTTGGGGGAGCACTGCAAAAAATCACAACAATGACTTAATAACGGTAATAAAAATCGAATCTATGCATTTATATTTCATGTGAACCAATATTTTGTGTGGGGCTAGGACCTCCCTACCCCCAACAAGTTTCGTGGGGGGCACGTGCTCCCCTGACCCCCCTGGTTCTGCCGCCCCTGTTATCGGTGACTGTAAGCAAATCTGGCTGGCGGCTAGGACAATGGCTTCCCTGGACATAAGAAGATTTACAGACTCTTCTGGGTGATGGATTTCTTGATTTCCTCAGTAATGTTCATAATAAGGTATAATGTCATCTCAATTGCTTAGCCCAACAGGAGCGTTTACTTGGACATTGTTCATATTTCTAGACTCCTTCAATAATACAGACTAACCCTCAGAAATACCAAACGTTTTAGATCTTTATTGATTTGTTTTCTTTAGTGCAAGCCAATCTTGGAGCCAATACTTATGCCGTCAATGGACATGCTGAAACAAAGAGTGAGTTAACACTGTGTTTTCTAGTCTTGTTGCATGCATGTACCCACACACACACATGTTCTATCTATTTGTAATAAAAGAGAACAAGAGAACCATTAGTAACTCTACTTACGTACGATGGTGAATCTGAGAAGACTCATAGTATGACATTGGTGGTCGTGGAAGAGTGCATGTTTTCAGCACTTCTCTTTTCTCTCTAAATCATTAATAGTTCATGAGGAGAAAACACAGAAAATCAGCATATGATAGACCTATCCCGAATTCGTTTGACTGGCCACGAAGCAATGGTTTCAAGTCAAGGTTGAACTTGATGAATAAAAGAATCAAGTCTGGTCTCAACTTCAAACCATTGTTTCGTGGTCAGTCAAGCAAATTCAGGATAGGTCTATTTGGGCAACTTATGTTTCAAATTTCAACAAGAATCATTAAATAGTTTGAGGAGTCATATCAAGCACCTGTTTCATCCTCTATTCAAACACCTCAAAGTTGGTTTAAAAAACTAAGCTCTGCCTCGTTTTTTAATTTTACATCCCGGTGTTTGGAAGTCGGATAAAACACCCATCATGTGTTTGATATGTTACTTGATTATTTCTGCCCATCACTAACCAGTAATTTTGTTTTAACAGCAATCACAGAGATGCTACCAGGGATCTTAAATCAACTTGTAAGTCAGTAGATTCTATTATCATAATGTTAATACATTGTGATCCAACATGATGATTAATCATGTACCAGGGATCTTAAATCAACTTGTAAGTCAATAGATTCTATTATCATGATGTTAATACATTGGTGATCCAACATGATGATTGATCATG